ACACTGCCGAATCCTGACCAGAGGGTTTGGCTCTTCTAGCCATACGCTGGTGTTACTGCCGTTTTGTTTCACTGACATACAATTCTGAGCACTTCTCATTGCACTGGACTGCGTACACAATGCTGTTCATCTTGTGTATAGTAGTTGGGTCTTTTGGGTGAACCAATTGTTGCCTCAGTATGTTGCTGGGTTTAAAAGAGACAGAGATGTGATGTTTTTTAAAAATGTGTGAGTTTTTCAGACACTTATGGAATGACCAAATTCGTTTGTCATGCATTTCACCCTCACTGGTAGTCTTGGAGTTCTTTCCTCTTCTTCTTTCTGGTTTGACACAGGCCCAGTCTGGATACCTGCAAGTTTTAAGGGCCCCTTTGAGGTGTTTGACTTCCTTCGCCTTGGCCTCTGTGCTGGGGGTATTTTCTCTGCCCATTGGTGTAGAGTCCTGATGACTCCCAGTTTGTGATGTAGAGAGTGGTGGGAGTCAAATAGCAGATACTGGTCTGTGTGTGTTGGTTTTCAGTAGACCTATTTCCAGCCTCCTACCCTCTTCTACTGTTACCAGTCAGTGAAAGCCTGTAATTCTTGTTTATGAATCTTAACCCAAGTGTCATCCACATATCTGAACCAATGACTGGGTGTAATTCCCTTGAAGGTGGTCAGTGCCTTCCTTTCTATTTCCTCCATGAACAGGTTCGCCAAAATAGGTGAAACTGGTGATCCCATGGTACAGCCATATTTTTGCCTGTAGAACTTGTCCTTGTACTTGAAATAGGTGATAACAAGGCAAAAGTCCAATAAGGCACACACTTAATTTGGGTTAAGTTCTGTTCTGCTACCTAGGGTGTTGTCTAGTAGCAACCATTTTCTCAATGTTTCAATTGTCTCTGCGGTGGGTATGCAGGTGAAGAGGGATATAACTTCATAGGCAGGGCTCGAAAAATGCACTCGTCCACTCGTCTGACGAGTGGACGCCAGTGCTGGACGAGTAGCTTCCCGACCGGCTGTTGTAATTAAACGGCCGGCCGGGAGCTTTACATTCATTTTAACTCTCTCACGCCGCCCGCGGCGAACTGAGGAGCAGGAGAGCTGCCGCCGGCCAGTGGACTACATTACCCAGCAGTCACCCTGGCGCAACGGAGGTGTGGCCGTGAGGAGACGGAAGGGGCTTCCGACATCCAGAGAACACATGAGGTGTGAGGCGACAGAGATCCTGCAGGTACTGTGCCGTGTGTGACACTGTCAGCATATCACTTCCCTTCTTCTCCATCACTGCATGATACAGTACAGAAGTGATGGAGAAGAAGGGGAGTGATATACTGATAGTAGTATCTGTGACTGTGTGTGAGTGTACCCTCCTGCCTCCATAGTACTCCACACTAAAAAATGTATTAACCCTTGCACAGTGCGCCCTGGTTACTATTTAAACCGGCGCGCGCTGTCACTTGTCCGGCACCGGCATGACGAGGGGACCATACTGTTCCCATTGAGCATCCCCCCACATACTTTTTTTTAATGGACTCCATCCTGTCCCCATTGAGCATCCCCTCCACATACTTTTTTTAACTATAATTTACAGGGCTTGAAAAATAACTTGTCCCCTCATCACGCCGGTGCCGGACAAGTGAAAGCGCGCGCCGGTTTAAATAGTAACCAGGGCTGATGTAAATGAGCAGCATGTAAAGCTCTGAGTAAATTGCAATAAATAAATGCATTGGTGCCCTAAAGGTCTTGATATCAATACTAAGTAGTGATATCAGTTTGATGTTTGACCATCTGTAGAAGGTTTAGGCATAATGAATAAATATTTTTCCTGAACGCTGTACTTTTCAGGACACTGTTTAAAGCTTATGTGAGTAATGGAATTAACATATTTGATAACTTTTTATAGTAGGTTGAAGTAAATCTCTCTGGGCCTGGTTGCTTTTATGGTTTGAGGGTTTTATTAGCAGCCTGAGTTTCTTGGGTAAATATGTTAGGTAAATCCTTCAAGGTGGTGAGGAATGAGGGTAAGGTAATGCGGAAGAATATTAAGTGCCCAGAGTGGGTTCAGGGGCTATGACAAGAATATTGTTTGGATATTTTTTCGTGGAAGATTTGGGGTACTTTCTGGGAAAGCTGGTGAAGTATCCCATTTTTTATTTCAAACAAATGGGTCTATCGGCACATGTGGCCAATCTATGAGTTTATAAGCTATCTAATTTACTACCTTTAAAATTATATTTGTGTTTAGTCTATCGGATTTGTTTCTCAGCAAAACACACAAAGCATAGGTTCAGGTCTCCAAGAGGGTTATTCACAAAATATGCAGTTCTTCTAATCTAACTTAACAATTTCCCCCCATTCCAATCTGTATAACAGATTTGAAAACACCAACAGGGTTTTTCACAAAAGGGTGAAGAGTTTGGAGGAGTGAACAATCCAGGCTAAAATAGCAGATTTGGAAAAATTCTCCAATTCAGGTCAATTTCCAGTTCAGCTATTTTGGACTAGAATGTTCACTTCTCCTGCCTACTACACACTCTTCACCCTTTTGTGACTAACCCTGTTAGTGTTTTCAAATCTGTTATACAGATTGGAATTGGGGGAAATGTTAAGTTAAGTTTAAAGAACTGCGTATTCAGATCTTAGTTGGGATGCAAGCTGGTTAAGGCATCTGCTAATGGCTGCCTTATGAGCCCCTCAATGACTTATTTGAGAGCTAATTGAGGCAGTGGTATTACTCAAGTGTTCTTGAACTGCATTATGGATAATGCAAGTTAAAGAGGGGTAATTTAGGAGGGAATTGTTAAAGAAGTAATAAACTCTCAAACGTGTTTTCAATAATGAATACAGATCAAACAAATATACATTGCCCAGCAAAACACTGCTTTACGTTTTTGCCCAAATACTTACAATCATCAAGTTTGTGAACAGCTACTTCCAAGTCTCTCAGCTCAGCTTCCCTGAACTTCCTATCCAGTACAAGATAACAAGGGACAAAGCAGACTCCAGCAGTATCTTGATTTGCTGTGTTTGTGGAAACACACACAGCTTACTAGCACATACAAGGGTTAATGCATACCACTATGCTTGGAAAAGGGGGCACTCTAAAACATAAAGTCGAGGCCAGTGCTCAGGGGACCAGCTGATTCTGCAGAAAATTAAAACTTTTAAACAGAAGCATCATACTATCACTTTAACGGTCCAGTTAGGGTGGGGTTTGTGAGGTCAAAGGGCCTAGAAATAAACTCATGGTCAGATCACATAGGGAGTATTAAGGTGGCTGAAGGGCAAAGAGTTATGGGATCTATAAGTAATCTTGATTTCAGTTTGGGTAGAATTCTCTGAAAGAGTCTATTAGGTTGAATTTCTCTAAAAGGGTACAAAATGCTTTTGATTGAGTGGGCTGGGATAAACAGTTTTTACGTGTTTTTTTTTATCCAGAATGAAATGTACAATAAAGATGGCGTCCCCACATAATATCAACAAGCATTGGCACTACCTTAAATAGGCAAGAAAGAAAAGGAACTTAATCACCAGGAATTGGACATAATTCGATTTGTGGGTAGCTCTATCTCGCTGACAAAAGTTCATCATTAAATTGACTTTTGTTGAAGGAACACATTGGAAAACTGTCATGCAAACAGAGATTGCAGCCAATCAGCTGCAAGTACTGTTTGCGTATTCTGACAGCGGCAGGCACCAATGTCAGAATGCAAAGGGCACAGTGGGAGATTCGCCCATCCACTCTGTTAGCGTGGATGGAGAAATCGATCAGATTTTCTTTGTTCAGCCTCACATGCTGAACAAAAATAAATCTGTTAGTGTGTACCCAGCTTTAGTATGGACGGCCATGGAACACTACAACATTTTGATCTCATGCAGCTTGACGTCTTTCCTTTGGGCTGAAGTAATCTAGCTTCTCTGTTTTATCTAAGGGGGTCGCACAAGTTATACTGTGAGTTCCAGCACAAGCTCAATTTAGTTACATTTTTGTTTTTAGTTCAATTTCATCTTCCCAGAAGTGCATAGTTGATCTAAATAACTTCCATTAAGAGCGCTTCTATTTGAACAATAAGCACTCACTTTGCACCCTAACCCCGATTCTATCAGCCCCCCTGCTTAGCCTCCTTCCACTCCCTATACTGGAGTCAATCTTAGCAAGCCTCAGTTCCTGCACAAGCACCAATAGACCGCCTCCCCACCAGCCACAATCTACCCCCACTTCAACCCCCTCCCATTTCTTGCCCCTGTTCATAATCAACTCTCCCTGTGATTAGTTTCCCAAAAGTCTGCATTTAGCTCCTTCTCTGTCTCCTCTCTTTTATAGACTAGACAAGTTTCTGCTCTGCATCTTATCAAGCCTCTCATTGCCACATTTCCTCCCAGCCACAAACATCTTACCATGAGTAGCTTCCACTCTACACCTATTTTATCAGAACATACCAACCTTCTCAAACTCCTGCCCACCTTCAGATCTCACTCTGCCTGCTCTTTCTTTCTGTCATGTTTCTCTAGTACGGTAGCTCATATTGTGCATGTTCTTTCTTACCTCAGTGGTCACCATTTGCTCTGTCTTCTATCTTTACATACCATGGTCAGCTGACAAATCCTCTTCCTCTTCACCCTACTGACATGAATAGCTTCATATCAGCCTCCTCTATCAAAGCCCCCCTTCCCCATCAGCTGCCATTACTAATTCTATCTACTTCTAGCCCCTATTCTAGCTCCTTGCTATGCCTCCTCTTTGCCCAATCACCTATAATCAGGTTACACTCTACATCCCATACCCTCCCTTAACAAACAAACAGTTGACACTCTGTCTCTCCCCTGATCAGTTATATTGAGGCTTAGCTGAACAAACAATACGTGTCCAGCTAAAATACTGTCTAAAATCTCATCAATGAGAGAAATGTCACAATGCTGCACAAACTCAGTGTTCTAAAGGTAACCATTTATCAATATACAATTTTTAAGACAAATGCTAATGCATAAACACGTGGTGCATATTTAGGAATTACCTCAACCACGTAACTGAGGTCCCGCACATATTCTCGCTCTGTATCGACTAGTTCTTGTAGCACATAACTGGAAAAAAAGAATATTTTTTCATATAAAACGTTATAACATGTAAAAAACTAAATATATTTGGTAAGGTTATAAGCTTTAAAAATACACTAAAATGCTGACAACACCAAATCTAAGAAGACAGAAGGGAGAAGCTGTATGGGGTGGGGTGATGTTTATGGCGAGAAAAACAATACAGAAGGGAACTGGAGCAGGACAGGAAGAACAATACAAGTGGTGACTAGTAGATGGGTGAAATGATCAATATGCTGGCGCTGGACAAGAGAAGTACAGATTAGAACTTTTCCTCTAGCTGTAAAAAAATCTGTGTAACACTTTATACTGCAAGTGACAAGTAAAAGTCAGAATGAAAAGAATAGGCAAATTTGATCTTACAACATGTTAAACAAATTTGCGTATGGCTTGAGAATACAGTAAGTGCTAGTCCGAAACTGTTGCTACTGCTGCTACAAATCTGCCTGCATACTGAATTAATACATTTTCACATGGTGCTGCAACTTCTGGATGTTTATTTCTATAAACATTGGATTAATGGGCAGCTTCAGTTGAGGTGCACCTACTTCTTATTTATCAGTACTAACCACTCACAATGTTATTAAAGATTCTGAGAATGTGGATGTGCACAGTTGCCAATACAGCATGACTAGTCCTATATCTAGAGGATGATGTGAGCTGTAAATTCATTACAATTGGTTTAATCCTAAAAGTTTATTTACCTCAGCTCCTTCCCAGGGCAGCCATCAGAAATGTTTCCCCTTACACGGCTTTAGGCCACCCTCCCCCGCCTTGCCGCCACACTGAGCCAGTCACACTGTTATTATTATACATTTGTGTAGCTCTGACATATACCGCAGTGCTGTACAGAGAACACTGAGCCAGTCACATCAGTCTCTGTACAGAGGAGCTTACACTCTGTCCCCCCACAATCACATCAGTCTCTGTACAGCTTACACTCAAAATGTCCCCCCCCAGTATTATACATTTATATAGCTCTGACATATACCGCAGTGCTGTACAGAAAAAACTGAGCCAGTCACATCAGTCTCTGTACAGAGACTGATGTCAGAGGAGCTCACTCTAATGCATAATGGCACCAGCTGTAGGGGGACTACAAATCCCAGCAATACATTTATACAGCAATGTAGAACAGTATATGAATTTGACTCAGGAATTAGTGACACGCTGGACGCAGGGCTTAGTGACGCGCTGGACGCAGTGCTTAGTGACGTCCTGGACGCAGGGTCCACCTGAGACTCCACGCATACCTGAGAGTGACCCTGCAGAGCCCACCATAAGATGCTGCACAGCCCATCTGATACTCTCTATGGTGGGCTCTGCAGGGGTCTCAGGTGGGCTGGTCAGGCCTGCATCTCCCTCCCTCCCAGCTCCTCTTACCTATTTAGCTGGCCTCAGAGGCGTAACTACAAACCTCAGGGCCCCGGTGCAAGAAATCATGAAGGGCCCCCCAAACCCTCCACCGCCATGGGAAAGAGCTGCAGAGAGATGGCCTGCTGCATGCTGGGAGCTAAGGTAGTTAACAGGGCCCTCTTCCTCCTGTCCGGGCACCCTCAAGTGGTGGAACTACCAGAGTGGCAGTTGCGACTTGGCCCTGGCGTTCCACCATTTGGGGGGTCCATTAACCACCAGGTTGCGGACATTGCCTCCTCGGACTATATGGCCTCCTCTGCAGCTGGACTGGCCAGAAGTGACGTGAGGTCACTTTCGGCCGGCCCGAGCTCAGAAGAGCAGCGGCGCCGATAGGGTTCCAGCCTACTCTGATACCGCTGGATGCTGGGGCCCGGTGCTGCTAGGGCCAGGCCTCCTTCGGCGCAGCGGGGTCCCGGGTGAATCCTCACCTGTCACCGTCAGACGATACTCATGTAAGGGTCCCAGGCGGGCCCTAAAGGCTGCCCGGGCCCCTTACATGAGTATCGGCCATACCCCCTGATGGTGGACCTGTGCGTATTACATCACTCGGAGTGAGAGCAATAATTCTAGGCCCATCAATCACTGTTAGGACTAAACTGATGAGCGGTAAAAGCGCTTAAAAATGTTCCCTATGGGAAATTTGGGGTATTTACTTTTTTTGCCACTCCACGGGCGAACGCAATTTTAAGGCTTGACATGTTTGGTATCTATTTACCCGGCGTGACCCCGTTTTTCATATTTTACCGAGAAATTGGGTATTTTGTTTCTGTGCACTAAATTTTTATTTAGTTTATTTTTTCCTAAAAATACTGGTTTGATAAAGATTTGCTCAAAAAACGTGCGACATAAAAAATTGCATCTAGCATTTTTTTTTTTACGGGGCCTCTGCTTTCAGAACATATATCATTGTGTGGGGGTTTGAAGCCGTTTTCTAGCCAAACATTTATATTTTATCATGTGTGTGCAAATAGTAAAAAAAAAAATGCCCCGAACAGCAAGTGGTTAAAATGTGCACCTGACATTCAGTTTTTTTATGAAGGGGAGGAAGTCTGTCAGGTAGGCATGCATAGAAAAAATGATAGCTTGGAGCCCGGGCCCCCCGGCCGCTGGGGCCCCTTACTCCCTCTGATGGCGGCCCTGCTCCTTCCACACAAATGATTTATAACCTGGAGAATCTCTAAATGGTTGATAACTCAAGACCTACATGAATATCCCACTGGCAGGGTATCATCACTTACAATAGATTCCTAGGAGTCTATTTGTAAGGATTTACTCTTTTCTACAATAATGATGAATATATATTTCATTTGCACAAAGAATTTAAGTGTTTATTTTAATAACTAGCTGTGGAACACATATGATCAAGTCCCAGAAAAGAAACAAGCTAGAAAGGAATAAAGACGATTAACAATTGAACCAGGTGGATAATCTGTCTAATCCAGATAATCCTGATTTCAAGTGACCATGATATAATACAGTTGGTGGACAGGCTACTTTTCCTACCAATCTGGTTCTACTACATCAAATAGCTTTGACACAAGGGCACAATCAAGAGCAAACCTCAAGGAGAATGACTGGTGGTATGAAACATCACCAGAGTCCCTTCAATATGAAGGACCCCATGTACAACCCAACAACAAAAGGAGGAGGAAATTATGTTTTACACCCTCATGTAAGATTGACGTCAGCTGAAAAATTTGGGCTTTGCCCTAAACAAAAGATGAATACATCTGTACCACAACTGTCCCACAACAAGATCTACATCTATTATACTGACAAATCAAAAAAAATTTCTCTGGAATGCATTCATGGATCTCAAGGTCACTTACACATGGGCGTTTTACAGCGTGTTCCTACGTGCTGTAAAACGCTCAACATGTGAAAACCAATAATTGTCTATGAGCATGGTTCACACCGTGGCGTTTTACAGCGCGTAGGAACGCGCTTTAAAACACCCTACGCCCAAAGAAGTACAGGATAGCCTCTTTTAACGCAAATCGCTATGAAAACGCGCATATTCCGTACGCCCAGGTGTGAACCCAGCCTAAAATTCAGGACATAAATCTTAAAAATGCATGGTGGTTAACCATAACAAAAATGTAGCTAATTTGTGCATCACTCGGCTCTTGATCCTGAAATCATCTCTGAAATCTTGCTGACACTGTGCTTCCTTCTGGAGGGTGGCACTACTTTTGTTTTCGCATGGTCCCTGTGTTTGTTGAAAAGTAGCCACCGCTAATGCTTTCTAATACTTTCAGCTACAGTGCTAGGCAAGTATTTTGACCAAATCACCATTTTTATGCATATTGTCCAATTCCAAGCTGTACAAGCTTGAAGGCTTATTGGATTTAAGCATATCAGGTGATGTGTATTTGTGCAATGTCTTGCGATGGTTGTAAGCTAAATAAAAGCTCGTACGATCTGCCCATCTTGGACAGGCAGATCGTACTGGAGTTCATCGAAAGCCTGCCCCCGAGGGGCGAGCTTCCGATGACTGCAATGTTGAACGGGCAGTGTGCGCTTGCGCACACCGTCCCGTTCGGCATTTGTCTCCCCAGCATGCCACAAACCCGCCGACAATCGTACAGTAGAAACGGTCGCACACCTTCCATACACCTTGCGATTATCGTAAGATAATCGTAAGGTGTATGGGCACCTTTAGGGTATAAAACTCTATATCATGGTGTACATAATAATTAGGCAGCTTCTTTTCCTAAGGCAAAATGGGCCAAAAAAGAGATTTAACTGACTCTGAAAAGTAAAACATTGTAAAAAGTCTTTCAGAGGGATGGCGAACTCTCACCCAAGAGTCGCAAAAAACATGTTGCGAAAGACGCAAATTAACCGCCAAAGATTTGAGAAGAATCAAACGTGAAGCTACCAGGAACCCATTTTCCTCCAGTGTTGTCATATTCTAGAACTGCTACCTACCTGGAGTGCCCAGAAGTACACGGTGTTCATTGCTCAGAGACATGGCCAAGGTAAGGAAGGCCTGAACCACTGAACAAGACATAAGTTGAATGTCAAGATGGGGCCAAGAGATATCTGAAGACAAATTTTTCAAAGGTTTTATGGACTGATGAGATGAGGGTGACTCTTGACGGACCAGATGGATGGGCCCTTGGCTGGATCAGTAACTGGCACAGAGCTCCACTTCCACTCAGACGCCAGCAAGGTGGAGGTAGGGTACTGGTACGGGCTGGTATTATTAAAGATGAGCTAGTTGGACCTTTTCGGGTTTAAGATAGCCTCAAAATCAACTCCCAAACCTACTGCCAGGTTTTATGAGTCTCTTTCTTCAAGCAGTGGTACAGAAAAAAGTCTGCATCTTTTAAGAACACCATGTTATTTATCCAGAACAATGCTCCATCGAATGCATCGAAGTACTCCACTGTGTGGCTAGCCAGTAAAGGCCTTAAAAGGTGAAAGAATAATGACATGGCTCACTTCCTCACCTGACCTAAACCCTATTGAGAACTTATAGGCCCTTCTTAAATGGGAGACCTCTCTGAACAGTGTCTGGGAGACTCTGGTTGCTGCTGCACAAAAAGTTGATCGTCAACAGATCAAGAAACTGACAGACTCCATGGATGTAAGGCTTATGACTGTTATTGAAAAGAAGGGTGGCTATATTGGTCACTGATTTTGTTTTTGAAAATGTCAGAAATGTTTATTTCTAAATTTTTAGTTGTGTGTTTATTATTCTCACTTTAACAGATGAAAATAAACAAGTGTGATGGGAAAATGTTCATTTTCCATTTAGTTGCATAATAATCCTGCACACTAATAGTTGCCCAATAATTGTGCACACATAGATATTCTCTTAAGGAAGCCAAAACCTTACTTTTACTTTCTTAAATATTCAGGTTTGAGGTTTATTAACATTTTGGATTGACCGAGAGCACTGTAGTTGTTCAATACAACGTACCTAATAATTGTGCACACAGTGTATATCTTCCAACCGCCCTGGATTCCATGGTACTGTCCTGGGATTTTATCAAAATCCCAGCATCCTGCAGATCTGAGCTGTGTCCTGGAAGTGAGTGCTGGAAACCTCATTCTGGCACTTGGCTCCACACCTACGTACACACTGCTAGGTAGAGTGATCTTCTGCCCAATAGTATGTACATTTCTAGTGGTGACATCACTGCACAGGCAGCAGCACAGGACACAGCACAGGAGAGAGATACATGGGCCCTGCTCTGCCTCCCAGCGCTTTTGCATTGTTTTATTCAATTCTGCATGAAAATGTATCTTTCACATTTACGGCCACTTTGCCATAAAAGTGCCCACCCTTCCTAGATTATATATAACGGTGCTTGTAGAAACATTAGTAGGCCATCACCTGTGGCTGGTAACTCATTTAATCTAGAAACCTGCACAGTCTTCTGTCTATAAAGCTTTAAAGCTCAACAGTAGCTGGTTTTTATATAATGCGAGCTAAATTCAAAATGCATAGGGCAGGACTGCGCTGGACAGCAGTACGGGGTACAGATAGTGCACCTGTACTGGCGGAGGGTAAGGACTGTTTGCCAAAAGGTAAGTATAGCACGGGGGGTTTGGGAGAGACTGGGCCAGATTTGATCGGGTAATTCCATTTTCCCATGTTACCTGGGAAAGTGAACTTACCCTTTACTGCACATTTAATTTTTATATATTTTATAATTTTTTTACTTTTTTATAACTCTTAATTTTTTTAAATTATTTACTTTTTTCCCCCACTTAATTTTCTTACTATCACATAGGGGATTAAAATCCCCTATGTGATAGTCTGGAGTTGTCAGGTTCTCTTTATGGAACCTGCACTCCAACACAGAACAGATGTTCTTTGCAGTTCCTGACAGCTGAGACAGGTGGCGCTGTGATTACAGCGCTCCGCTCTATGGGCTCTATGGTGAGCTCATGTGCCGTGGTCACGGGAACCCCAGAGGAGCGGGGGACCCCGAAAACCACTTGTATCAAACCGAGCAGCGGCTCCACATTGTACATTTAGCTCTGCTAGTCCAGAGCAGGGCTACGTGTACAAAAAATACTACACGCCGGGGCCTCAAACCGCATGTCCAGGGTGTCGGGTGATAGGAATTCCACACCCCTGATTGACACAATTTATTATGTGAACATTCTCAACTGCCTTAGTAAATCAGCCTCATTATGTCCATGATTATGAAAGCACACAAATAATGCATACTGCCTGTCCAAAAGCAGTGACTACCTGGATTTCGGACAGTGTTATGATCTAGGGTTGCTTCAGTTGGTCAGGTCTAGGTTCAGCAATGTTATGTCCCCAAAAAATGAGGACAGCTGCCTACCTGAATATATTGCATGACCAGATTTTTCCAGCAATTACTTTTTTCTTCCCTGATGGCATGGGCATATTCCAAAATGACAATGCCAGGATTCATTGTGCTCAAAATGTGAAAAAGTGGTTCTGGGAGCATGAGACATCATTTTCACACATAGACTGGCCACCACAGAGTCCAGGCTTTAACCCCATTGAGAATCTTTGGGATATGCTGGAGTAGACTTTATGCAGTGGTCCGACTATCCCATCACCACTACAAGATCTTGGTTAAAAGTGTATGCAACTCTGGATGTAAATAAATGTGTTAATATTGCATAAGCCTATTGAAACGATGCCACAGTGAATGCATCCCATAATCAAAGCTAAAAGTGGTCCAATGAAATATTAGAGTGCGTAATTTTTTTGTGGGGGGCCAGGCAGTGGATATATAACTAGATAAACAGATAGCATTTAAATAGTTAATGACAGTTCACAAACAAATACTAAAAAGAAAAATAAAGTACATTCTAATTAACAACATATTGCAAGATAAATATTTTTCTTACTGTCGTCGTTTTAAGAAGCTGGATTTCTTTTCTTCAATTTCATCAATGGGAGAAGATGAAGACAGGAGAGAAGTATCTGAAGGATTAAATGAGGGACTACTACTGTCTCCCAGATCTACTTGAAGAAAACTTGGACGATCTTCTAGAGCCTGCAAAATAAAATGCCATAACAGTGTGTTAGCTCAGTAATTCTCAGTGTAGAGCCTTTGCACCAAAAACATGTAAGAATGAAAGTGTGTGCCCTAAGTATCCATAACAACAAAATTTAAATTACTAATACTTAGGGGTCTATTTATAAAGCAGAGAATGTGATTTTCACAAACATTTGCTGATAGACAATCAATCACTTCTATTTAAAGAACATGCATCTGGATGGTTCATGAAAGTCACATTCTTTGCTTTGTAAATAGAGCCCTCAAAGTGTATATATATATATAGCCTAAAATAGAATTTTTGACTTGCCTGCAAAATAATTTTCTTGGGGTACAGTACAGGACACGGGCTCCTGTAATTCTTTTCATTGTGTTCAGCCCATATAAGCAGACTGTTGACTTTGTGCTGAAATTGATTTTCCCTCGCACTCAACATGTATCTCCAGCTCTGCTTCCCATCCTATGGGCATGGGACACCCACACAGGTGTCAGTGGTAAAGATGGGGAGGAGCAAACATCCATTCACTGATCTCCTCTCTTGTGAATGAGTAGAAAGGTGCCATTAGGGGTCTAATAGACCCCCTATATAACCTGCAATCTTCTATCATATAGGGGGCTATAAAAAGAAAAGTAAAATGAAAACATACAAAACAACGTACCTAAACACACACTGGGTGTGCCTAAATGCGAAAACAAGGATTGCAAAAACAGATCTGGCAGCAAAAGGGTGTAATGGTTGTAATAATCCACCCAATGCTTATGGAGTTCAACTGCGGATCTAATGGCACAACCAACACGGATGAGAAAGTGGTTCAGGATGGGAATGCTACTATGACCCTCTTATGGGAGGCGAGGGGGCGTAGCTTCCTCAGACATCATTCACCACAACTAATAATAATCCCCTGTATTACTGGCATACAGTGGCAGGTAAGAGCGATCCGCACAATATTATGTTCATAAGTGGTCCTCTTAGGAAGGTATCTAATAGTTGGTAATTAGTGGAATATTTATGTAGGAACAAGGTTTTGTCAACAGTAAGCAGTACTCTTCACTTCAGAGTAATACAGGTTAAGCCTGAGTTATTTGGGAATTATAGGCATAGCAATCTGATATTGACACGGTAGTACAGGAATATGACAGCAGGTGGCGTTGCTCTTCTGGCTCTGAGCAATACAGGCTGACCATACGAGTTACGAGAGAATCATAGGCATAGCAATCTGATACTGGCAATGTAATACATGAATGTGGCAGCAGGTGGCAGTGCTCTTATGTTTTCAGAGCAATACAGGCTACGTCTATTGTTACTTGCGGTTTCAGTGGAAGCTGTTAGCTGTGCAGAGTGACGTGATCCTGGGTCGGCCTGAATTAGGTGAGAGTCCTTGTAGCGTCTGAGGTGAAGAGTCATTGGAGGTAGATGGCCACAAGGAAGGTTGATCCAGCAATGGGAGAGGAGCAGGTTGCTCCACGTACAGGCTCCTTGACTGAACACCGAGCAATTGAATCTCCCTCTCTTTTATTGAGGGAGTCGGCAGCCAGTGGGCGGAGCTACGATCGGCAGCCCGAGGGAGCTTGATGTCGGAATGACATCACTGCCGAAGGAGGTGACCTGTGTCCTGTACAGTATTCCAAGAAAATGATTTTGCAGGCAAGTAAAAAATCCTATTTTTATAGTTGTACAGTACAAGACACAGGTTCCTTTAACCGCTTCCTGGCCGACCGTTGTAATTAAACTTCTTGGATGCAACAGGGTGTCTAAAGACGGCCTGTTAGCCCCGCCCACTTATGCACGCCATGCAGGAAACTGTCAAAATTTAAATCTCCCCTCCGCTGGTCCCGAGCTCTGCTGTGCCTGGTGCGGGCCCGGGACTGGCACAGCGGCTCTGTGACAGAAGATCAGAGGGAAATCAGTACACATCTCCCTCCGGGCTAATCTCCGGTGTCAGAATGCGGAAGTGATATATGTTACATAACTTCCGCATTCTGCTGTCACTCTCCGGCTTCAGAAGCTGGAGAGAAGCTGATGTAGCAGATCTATGCTTCATAAGCTTTTTTAGGGTCCCTAGATGACATTAGGGATCTTACAGACCCCTGATGTCTCCATAAAGAGGACCTGTCACATGCTCTTTGCTATGACATAGGGAGCTTCTTAGCCCCCTATGTGATAACAATAGAGTTAAGTGAAAAAAAATTTTTAAGGCACATAAAAAAAAGAATAAAAAAAAAAACAAAAAACACAAAAATATGTTTAAAGTCCCCCATATATACGCACTCAAACATGTGTCGGGGGCACATACGTGCGAAAATGACAATTGCGCCCATTACGCCACACGTTACACGTGTCCCTGTGCCTTTAAGGAGGTTGGCCTGCCTCCAGGCGAACCTGCATCCAATTTTATATTTTGCTACATGTGCTCCAAGATGGAGACTCTCTTAGGTTAAAGTTAGGACCACACTACACAGAGGGGCCTTGACAAGGCAGTGTCGGCTTTCACATATTCTGCAGAAGACACGCATCTAAAACCTGTTTTTAACCTTAGTGGTTAGCTGTGTTCTGGATATTAATATACGCTCATGCGCATGATAGAGCGCGCTCAGCGGTACCAAGTAAAACAGACTCAAGCTGTTCTCACATTGGATGATCAGTAGAAAGTCCTGTCTAGTGCAGGGAACTCCTGTTTATTTATAGGGCACAAAGCGATAACAGAAAGATAATAAAAAAGGGGGAGGTGTTCCTCATTTATCGAAACAGGGATTATCTGGGATTTGATACGGGCAGTCATAGATATCATTTGCCATATAGGTTGTGATTTATCCACCTTATGTGATGGGTGGCTCTTTCACAATTTTACCCCTTCTTTCACATCATTCCTTTGCTGTCTGCTGTCTTTCGGTTGGTGTTTTTTTTTCTCCCCAAGGGGTTCATCAATACCCTCATTCTGGCCATCGCATGGGTTTTAAGATTACATATTTTAATATTTTAACTGTTTATGTGATGAAATACGTGATGACAATCCCTTTGTCAGTTCACTTTATCTTGTTAAAATATGGGGGGTTTTCACCCCTTATCATTTGGGAGCTCACGATTTGTGACAAGTCACATTTGTTCATATAGGGACTCACCCAGTTGTATTCACCGTATAGGATTTATTTAACTTCTCTGGACAGGATCAGTTCATATCATCCCCTAGAAGAAGATGCCCTCATAGTATTCCTTCTAGAGGTTTTTTCACATGGCATGCAATGAATACCAGGATACAATATAGTATACTACAGCATTATTAAGATTTCACCATTCATGTATCACCTTGTCTTCTTTAACAGACTCACACTGAGGTGGTTTATAGTTTTGGTTTTATTTGTTTCAGATTTCTTATTTTCCACTTACCTTGTGCTGTATGCTTTAATGCTTTACCCACTTAGTTGGATGAAGGGTAATAAGTGCTACAGTGTCAATCACTTTTTTTGTATGTTACTCTCAGTTATAACATGTTCAGTATGTTGTTTTCATTTTGAAAATGTCATGGCCGCCATTTGTTTATGGTGGCTACCATGACAACTGGTCTTAATATATGCGCTCGGTTAAGCTCCTTTCTCCACACCCCTGATGAAGTCAAGCCCTTTGACATAATGTACGTAGGGTGGAGTAGAGGAGCTGAGCGATTTGCACACAGTGTCTGTGGCTGCTTACCAAATACCTCACTTTTATCTATGATATGCGAGTAGTATTCTTTTTTAATAAAGTCTAGTATCCTTTTAAAACCATCTGCACTACGAGTCTCCACTTTTTATTTTATTTGATGCATGGGCCATTCGGATGAATTGTCTGCTTCCAATTCCTGAGACTGCAAAAAAGTCTGTACCTGAGAGGAGGTAATCACTGGGAGGTATTCTGCATCAGGTGCTTCCTCTACCTGGTTCGAATTAGCGGAACAGCGCATACAGACCCTGGTGGGTCTCTGCTAAAGGTGAGGTGCATTCCAGAAGATTTCTCTGTTGATGGTCACAGGAGACTAAGTCTATTCTACATTCAATGTTTTATCTTTTATGGTCAAATTAGGTACCTCGGCTTATATTCGGGACGGCTTATACTCGAGTATATACGGTAATGGACTATTGAAGATCCAGGATCATGAACATTTTTAACCATTTATTATTGTCACTGTAGTGCATGTTACACACATGCGTTTTTCTAGTTGTTATTCTTTGCACATTGCATCACATTGATTCACAGTTAGTATTTAGTGCATTTGATTTTTCATTATGGATATTTTGTAGCAATTACATTTACACTAAGATGCATGTTATATACATGCGTTTCTTCTTTGTTTTGCACTTTTTACACATTGCATCACATTACTCCAAGGTCAGTATCTACTATATCTGACACTTTTGCGGTCTCACTCATACAGCGCGGCTTTTACCATTAATTTCACTATGTGTTTATTGCTTATCTCTTTCTGGATGGATATCATTATGAACTGGTTCGGTGTATATGCCTTGAGGGTGTCCCTCCCCGCCAAGAAGGGAACACTGTTTTATGACCTTTATTGGTCATCAGCTCAGGTGAGCACCCACCTGCACTCTTTATCACATGTGCATTAGAGCATCTGTTTGGTGTGGGGTATGTAAGAGTTTGGATAGAAGATTGCTATTACCACTATTATCACTTTCACTATTTCCATTAGTTTTTATGGATCAAAACCTCTGTGGTCACTTTTGAATTTTCACTTTTATGGGACTTTTGTGCACTGTTGTTCATGTTTTGATGTTTATATTTATTTATTTAGTAGCTCGGCACATTATATTATAATTTTATTCCATTTTGATCACTACGATCAGTAGTGCTTTGTAGCTTGCACTTAGATTTGACTGACACAGATCATACTGATTATTAACTTTTTTGTTATTACATAGGGGGCTAAGGAGCAGAGGCATCGTTGCCTGCTTAAAATTTTGACAGTTTCCCGTTTGTGCGCCGCGCACGAGTGGGCGGGGTTAACAGGTCGTTATTTAATGCCCTGTTACATTCAAGAATGTTGCGGCTGGCCGGCAAGTTGTTAAAGTCTCCCGCCTCCACATGCAAACATGCGTCAGGTGCGCCTACGTGCAAAAACTATGATTGTGCCGCACATGTTGCATATCACGCGAACGTCAGAGTGTGAGCAATAATTCTAGGGCCGTCAATCACTGTTAACACCATACTGATGAGCAGTAACAGCTTTTAAAGCATCACCTATGGCCAATTTTGGGTATGGTAGTTTTTTGCGATTTTGCGGGCATGCACAAGTTTAAAGCTTGACATGTTTGGTGTCTATTTACCAGAAATGCCCATTTTTTATATTTTACCAAAATTGTGGGTAATAATATATGTTTCATAACATAACGTAGGAAAAACTATTTTTTCCCCAAAAATTTTCGGTTCATTTTTCACTATATAGTAAAAAATAAAAATCTCAGTGTTGAATAAAAACCCCTAAAAAAAAAAAGCTCTATGTGTCCTTAAAAAATTTCAGCACAGCGTTGCATGACAGAATAAATGCGCTGAATACTGAAAAATGGCCTGGACAGGAAGGGGGGGTAAACACCCCGGTCATCAAGTGGGTCAAAGAAAGCCAGTAATCAGGGTTCTATACCCAAGATCCAAAGCATGCCCATGCACACTGCATGTTTTTCATGTGCACAGCACCACTACTAAGTCATGACATGGCTAATGCATGTTTAATTTTTAATATGCATATTATGTTTGCTAAGCCTTGGATTGGCCATTGAGATCTGAGGGGTGGTATCTCTGTTTCTACCGTGCCAGCACATTTTGTTACTGCAAACAAAAAAAGTATGTCTGAGAGCAATTCTACATAATCCTTTACAAAATTGATACTTTATCTGACTAGTTTTACTTACCATTTTACTTTTCACAAGTTCTTCAATAGCACTGACAAGTTCAGCTGCACTTGGAGTTTCAGAACTAGTAGGACGTACCAGTAAGCGAGGTGCCTGAATAAAAGCGCATGAAAGACAAATTAATATGTAAATGCTTCAAGTAAATACATAGTTTCTAATTATTTTTTGTTTAAAGGTGAAACATCTCATACAATTAAACAAATTAATATTCAAGGTTTATATAAAGCCCAAACTATTTTTGTTTTGATAGAGTAGGGAAAGGTAACCCTGATAAGAGGATTTACCTTTACTTCCTGTGCCAAAAGGTAATAGGAAGTTTGACATAATCACCCTTAACAGGTTTTGACCTCACATACAGTTTAAAGCTAGGCAAAGCCCTGGTCAAACTCCACACAGCCTCCTGAGGCCCCATTACAGCCCTGGTGAGACCCTGCACAGCCTCCTGAGACGCCGCACAGCCCTGGTGAGCATCACAGAGAATGTAGCTTCATAATATTCTGCATTGCTGTATAATGCATTGGTGGGATTTTAGTCCACTATAGCTGATGGTGTTCTGCATTGCTGTATAATGTACTGCTGGGATTTGTAGTTTTCTATTGCTGATAGTATTCTGCATTGCTGTATAATGTATTGCTAGGCATTGTAGTCCTCTATAGCTGGTGGTATACTGCATTGCTGTATAATGTATTGCTGGGATTTGTACTCCCTCTAAAGCTTGCAGTCAGTGGCAGAACTACCAGGGCCACAGCGGTTGCAGCTGTGAGAGGGTCCTGGTGCTCCACCACTGTCCTAAAATCATTAGTCCGCATTGTTTTAGAAAAAAATGTCACATACAAAAAAGTATCAGCAATTGGCATCGGCGAGAACTTGAGGAATAGTACTTGTACTTAGTCTTGAAGAAATGGTATTGGTGCATGTATGACTGGAGCAAAAGTGAAAGAAAAAGTAGGAGGTAATGTCAAATAATTTCTGCATAGGTGTGGGCATTTTTGCACATGTAAATGTTATTCATAGCTCTTTCTATAAAGGATGCAACACTTTTTGTAACAAAGTATTTATTGGGTTTTTTGAAGTAGAAATAGTTAGACATTTTACATAGTATTTGCTGGTAACATTAGGTCATACAAGCAGTTTGGTAAGTACAATAACGTGGGTCAGTCCCGCAGGTCCACAGATCACAACCAGGGGTTACCCATCTCATCTCCCGCAACTCTATCAACCTCATCACAGGCGTCTAAGAGTGTTTATGTCTAAATTAGGGTGGTTATGTAAGATCCAAGGTTGGATGCAGCAGTTTTATAAGATCAGTGACGTCACAGAAAGATATATGCTGTCAAATAGGCATTGCTATAAAAAAAACAAAAAACGTATCTATTATATTTAGGAATGAGCACTAACAAACCATATCTGACACACCACTTTTTTCCTCTACAATTCAAGTCTGTGAGAGGACACTGGAGTACCAAAGTGGAAGAGCAGGAACCAGAAATGTCACTAATAGAGAATACATTTTAAGGCATTTCAATACAAAAATCAGTCACAACTCATAACATCTTGAGAATGGGAGCATGGCCTGGATATCGCCATGGCAAGACATGCTGTATCTAAGCTGAGCTCCAACCTGTGCCCTGAAATCACTGTCCCTCGGCTACACGTGGCCTTTGAACCTGCTTTAAAGAGGTAAATATAAGGAGCAACAGAACCGCAGCAAGAGCTACAGAAACGTAGCCTTGGCACCCCACACCAGTGAGGATTCTACAAAACGTCAACATCATTAGAGTTGGGCTTGATTTTCAAGTTGAACGTGAGTGATGCGCCTTCAGAAGCCATAATTGGCTAAAGCCTTGCACCTGACCACAGGTCAAGTGCAAGACTTTGCCCAATCAAGGCACAGATATATGCAAGATTATGGCTCACTGCTAAGTCCCAGCAGCACACTATATAAGGCTGCTTACACCGCAGCTCTATGTAGTGTGTTGGTGAAGTTAAAAGAGAGTGTTTAGCAAATATTATACCTTTTCCGCACTTTGCCGGTGCCCCTACCAGTCCGCTTCTTCAACACTCTCCACACTTTGATGCACAGTTTTATATGGCAAGGCAAAAAACCCCGCTGCGCGCATTATATACTTGTTAAACACAAGAAGGTGGGTGGCTTAGGGGTCCCAAACCTACGGGATTATTACTCTGCTGCCCTCTTAGACTCCTTACAAGCGTGGCTGCAACCAGCCCAGCACAAACTATGGTGCGAAGTGGAAGCGTCCTTTGTCCCAAAACTCAGCCCACATATCTATTTGATTGCGCATGCACTGCCTAAGGAATTGGTAGGCAACCTTTCGCCCATGGCTCGAGCCTCCCTAATAGCATGGCAACAGTTAATGTGTGAAACCACAATGGAGGAGACCCGCACGTCTGTAGATGTTCCCCTCGGGGCGTTGCTCATACGTTTTCCCTTTAGCAATCTGTCAAAGTGGGTGGAGAGGGGCATGACAGTGGTTAGAGATTTATACATAGGGGACTGCTTGAAACCCTTTCTTACTTTACGCAAGGAATTTGGCGTACCGGCAGGGGACCTGCTCCTATACCACCAACTAGCTCACCTTTTGCGCTCTACTCCTCTGAGAAACTGTAGAATCCCAAACTCAGCCGGGAAGTTCTACTTCTCCAGCCCTGCACAAACTAGAGGGATATCTCTGTTCTATGGAGCTCTAAATAATAAATTAGTGTGCACTAAATCCAGCCCGATAAAACAGTGGGAAAAGGACCTCCAGTCCTCTTTTTCACCCCAGCAATGGACCACAGCCTTCGCGTACACTCATAAGGCCACTAAATGCGCTGACTTATGGACCCTGGGGCATAAAATTGCCCTGCAGTGGTACTTTACGCCTCTCAAACTTAGCAAAATGCATCCATCCACCACCACAGACTGCTGGAGACAATGTGGACGAATAGGGAGCTTGCACCACATCCTGTGGGACTGTAGATGTCTGAGGAGTTTCTGGCGCCAGGTATTCCAGAAGATATCACAGACCACGGGATGTATTGTGCCGCCATCACACGAGTTAGCGGTTCTGTCGCTAGGCATCGAAAACGTCCCACCTCAATTTAGGATCCTAATATCTCACATTCTGCTAGCGGCGAGGTTGACTGTAGTGCGCCATTGGAAAAGCTTAGTTGCACCAAATATTTCCGAAACTGTAGCTATAGTTAACCTACATTGCCAATACAAGAGGGTTATGTCGTACCAAGATGGCTCCACAAAACGATTCTATAATGCCTGGTCGTCCTGGCAAGGTTGATGGCATCTTAAACCATTATGTGGTAATAATGATATGATGCAGGTCTCGATTGCTTGGCTCCCCTCACCTTTTCCTTCCTTTGTCTTCCCTTCTTGTTTGTTCCTCTCCTTATTTCCATTCCCCATCATGTTATATATGTTATATACTGTATTTGTATATCTATACTCTATGCAACATGTAACCTTCGAAAGTAAGATCTCTACAGTGACTGGTGTTATGTTTTTTTCTTGAAAAATTCTGTTCAATAAAAAAGATTGAATTTAAAAAAGAGAGGGTTTAGTATCAGTGTTCTATCAGCATACCATAGCAGTCTATAATTGCAGTCTACTAGAGCAGTTAGTCATAGCACTCTATAATTGCAGTCTACTATAGCAGTCTACTATAGCAGTCAATTATAGCAGTCGATTAAAGCAGTGATTAAAACTATGATTATAACAGTCGATTATAGCAGTCGATTATTGCAATACGCATCATGTCAGAAAGGCCAACAAGAAGAGGCAGACGCTCCCATTCAGCAATAAGAGGGCAAGCAGCCGCTGTGTCCACAGACAAAAGTCGTGGTCGTGGACATGGTTCATCCCTTCGCCCAGGCTCATACTGGTTCTCAGTCCACCGCAGCTGCCAAAGTGGCCTATTCTGCGTCCGTGTCCACAGCTACTCCTGCCGTAGCCCCATCATCATGCAAGGAGGAGTCAGCTGAATTGTTTGAACACAGCGTCAGTGACATGCTGTTGGAGGATGTACAGCAATTACAATGGTCTGATGTTAGCTCTGAGGTTGAGGAAGGGAGTAATATGAGCCTAGGGAAAGGGATGTTCCCCCAGCCGCAGCATTCTGCCAGGTTGGCTCCAGTGATGAGGACAGAGGGGGTGATGATGATGTCACTGCCTCTTCTTGGGTGTCTGATGGAACAGAGGAGGAAATTAAGGAGGCACAACCCCAACGAGGCAAGGTGTCCTCCAGGGGCAGCTATAAGAGCAGCCACCCTATTGCATCAGACGGCAGAGCTGCACAGGTGCAGGGCACTGTTATCACCCAGCACACTTCCAGGAACTCAGCTGAGTGGGAGTTTTTCAGCACGTGTGCAGCAGACCGCAGCATTGCTATTTTCAATCTCTGTCTCAAGCAGACCAAACGTGGCAAAAACATCAACTGCTTGGATATCACGTGCTTGAAGAGACACCTGACCAACTGCCACACAGGCTACCAGGGCCAGAGTTATACTTGTGAACCCCAAACTCCCATCAACACAGTGCACAGAATCAAAACCTGTTTACCAACACATGCAATATAAAATTGTAGGGATGAACCGATATGTTGGCCGGAAATGGCACTTTTGGCATAATGCCGAAAGTACCATTTTCTGGCCGATACAGTGGTGCATCCTATTCTCTCCTCCACGCTGGGCGCTGCTCTGTGCCCCAGCGGGGAGGAGAGAAACTGTCAGAGGTGGCCAAGCGCTGCGGGAGGAGAGTGGTGAGCAGCCGGCATCTCTCCTCCCACACTGCTCAGCCTCCTGTCACAGATCAGAGGAGAGGAGTGGGGGCGGACACAGCTAGTGTTGTCATAGGAGGTTGAGCTCCACTCGCTCAGCCCCCTGTGACAGCGTATTAGGAAGGAGAGTGAGGTACAAACACTCAGCGATCACTGACAGGGTTATTCACAAAAGGGTGAAGAGTTTGGAGAAGGCAGGAGAAGAACAATCTAGGACAACATAGCTGAACTGGTAAGTAAGCTGAATTGAAGAATTTTTCCAAATCGGCTATTTTGGCCTAGATTGTTCACTTCTCCTGCCTT